CACCATCAGTTCATTCTGAACACTGAATTTCCAGGCAGCAGCCACCACATCAAGGGAAACACTGCTGTTAACATCTTTCCTTGGAATATATCACTGCACAACAACAATAGAGAAATCAAGAACAGATGCCTCCTTGAGTACGTGCAAAGCACATCAACTCAGGTTTCTACGACAATTTGTCTGCTTCAGAAGGGGTTTTTATTATGCTTCAAATGGCTACGAACTACATAGAGTACTGCCTTTTCATAGAAATACTACGCTCTTGCTAAAGGAAAGAAAAAAAAATTAAAAAATTAACCACTACCAAAAAGGAATAAAACCCAGCTTCACTGTAAATGAAAAGGGAGCGAGAGAGCAGCAGCTGCCACCCGCAGCCACCGTCAGGGTGCTGAGCCAGCACACACCATGAGCAGACTGCCTCTGAACTTCAGGCACTGCACAGAGGGCAGGTTTTGGTAAAAAAGAAAAACCAAACCCCACCTATTCACACTGTGACCCTTCTAACTCCTTCAACACATCAGAAGACAAGAAATCCAGCCCTGCACACTAACTGTGATGGGTTCAGCACCTTCAAGAACCAGGCTCGTTGCTGTCCAGTTTTTAGAGACAGAACTACTGTCTTTTCCTCACTTTATGCATCATCTGACACCATTTGAATGCCGTTCACATCTCTGACCTCTTTTTCCAGTCTTCCCTCTTCTGCTTCCAAAAGCTGCTCTGCTACTATATATATATATTATTTTTTTTGCTTGGAAGGAACATCTCTAGAAATCAAGTAATTTTTTTCTTCCTTTCTTCTGTAAGATTCGTATCATGAAAGACAATAAATCTTTCAACACTTCCCTTTCTCTGAGCTGTTCACCTTTATATGCAGCATTACAGATTAAACACTATTCAGAAAGGGAACAGTGCTTTACTCCACACCATGTGAATGTGTACAGAAGTACTCTACAAGCATATTCTGGCTGGATGATTAACATTATCTCAAGTTTCTTTGACCTTTGCAATGTATCCAGAAATATCACATAAATAACACTAAGAATTTAATACGATTTTTGTTCAATCAAAAATGTGTCCTCCCTTTCCTCCATTTATCTAAAAAGGGAAGAAAGAGTCCTCCTAATTTGATAACAGAACTACAGGTCAGATTTCCTGAACCAGAGGACTTCAAGTCTAGAATACACTACAATAAACTATTTGAAAACACTTTTGGCCACTTACTTGCAGAGCAGAGTGTGTAAACTTAGAGCACAGTAAAGTGTTGATTCCACACATTCTCTGCTGTAACAAACCCCGTGCCTTCTTCAAGCATAGCTCCTGATAGCACTTGTAGGGAATGCAGAACATGCAGGCTTTTCCCTGCTGGGTGTGTTCCTGGATGGGTTATCAGTGTGTTCCAGGGGGGGAGGAACAGAAAGAAACAGCTTCCATCTTACAACCTTGGAGGGAGAAACTTGCTCACATGTGGCTGATAACTTGAGGGGGTTTGAAATGTGCTGTTTGGTATTACACTGTACCTACCACGTCATGTCAGCTGTTTCTCTTAACATATATAAAAGAACACACATTAGAGGAGATTTCCTTCTCTGGTTTACATAATCAGAACACCTCTTCCTTTCCTGGGAAGGAAACCCTCCTTTATTTCTCAGCTTCTCTGTTTTGGCCACAGCCACCTCATGACTTCACAGCCAGATCACCCTATGAAATCTGCTTTGGTGCCACTAAAACACAGCAGGGACAAAAGCAGACTAAAATGGAATAGCAATTAACAATTTCTCCTCCCAGTGACTCTTCCAGGACCCAGGAGCTGCTGAGCTGGTTGATAATAAGCACTGAAACTCGTCCTGGGTAACCACCCCGTGGGCCTGCCTTGACAGGCCACAGTTAGATAATTCATCAGAAGGCATCAAAATCACTCGTGCCTGCTGCAGCAACCCCAAGTGTGCCAAGTATCACTCTTCTCCTGCCAGAAACAACACCTTGCTTCTGTGCAAGTGTCCTGAGAGGTCACCAAAGGAACGATGGCATCTGGAATGTGCTTCCAACTGATGTAGGACAATGTCTTGTTTCAACCCAAGGGGAGCTGCCACTGGTGAGCTCGACCATCCTCCTTGTGCCACTACTAAGGGCTGAACAGATTCTTTCAAGAAAGTCCTAGCAACAGTGAAGCTATCCTGTCAAGACAGCTACAAAACAGCAGATAAAAATGTTTGCAGCCAGCCCTGACAAGTAAATCTTCCTTGAAAATAAAGCAGAGATTCAGCCCCAGTTGATTTCCTGTGGGGTTTTGTTTTGCTTTCTTTTGAACTTCCTTCAGGTTTTGACAGGAAGAGCCCCCTGCCTGGCCAGAGGACACACAGACAAGCAGTTTCCACATCCTCCCTCTTACCTGGATCAAATCCAGAACAGTTGCAGTGGAAGTAAATTCTCCTGTTTCCCCAGACATCCTGCAAGTCAGTGCTCTTGATAGGCACTAACCCGGGGCTTCCAAAACACACACAATAAAGACTAGGTCTGTCTACAAACATTCTCCACAACAAGATGGAGAAGAGCCACAGTAGTTTTTCTGTCACCAGCAGTCAGCAAAAAACTGAAGGAAGGAATTTCCACTCTGTCTCTGCAGTATAAAACAGCAGATCATGTTCCACCTTCGTCCCCAACACGTTCAGACTACAGCAGCCTTTTTCCCAGCACAGTGTCTCCTTGGACTAATATCAACATAAAACTTCCACCAGGAGACAGGGCTGAAGCTAAGCATGGCACCAGGGACCGAGGAAAACCACGCTGCTCTTCTTGCTAACCAGCTCACTACAGCCACATGTTCTCCCTGATTTCTCTAACACAAAGCCTTCCAATTAAATTCGCTTTTTGACCTATAAATTAATCACAGGAGGCCTGTGCATACCCTCCTGCTTCCACTTACTGGACAGCAATGGTGAAACAGGGGCTGTTTGAACCTCTTTCTGATGCACCATAGGAGAGAAAAGCCAAGTCCCTCAAGTTGCTCCCATTGGTTTGGCTGTTTTGTGGGCCGTGAGGAGGCCGATACAGGCTCTGTTCACACCCCCTACCAGTAATCATAAGGCAAATCAAACCAGAATGCAACACACAAATGGGCATCTTCAGAGGAAAAGAATGCCAACCCACACACGGTCAACTGGCCCAGATGTTTTCATTTTAACACCAAAGCTTTCATGCCACTTCTTTTTTTTTCCCCCTCCTCGCCCCTTCGCCCCACCCCAGTTTACCAGCAGGAGCAGAAACAGCGAGGCTAAAAAGAAGCATGAACACATGCAGCACCATGACACAGAGCAACAGGCAGAGGAACCCCTAACTGCATGATTCCAGCTGTTCTTCACATTGCATTTTGACTTTCATTTTTCTTTTACTGAGCTCAGTTTTCATTCAAAGTTTAGAATCGGTCACAGCCAGTTCAATTATCATCAGCCTTTATTTCTAGTCAAGTGACTAAATGCCTCTTCCCTCCTCCAACAGAGGGAAGCTTAAAAAAAAAATAGAATCTTCACAAGAAACTTGTCAACACCCACTTCTCTTCCAGCACTCTTCCATCCTCACTGGGGTCTTTGTGCATGGGGGAGGTGGAAGGATAGAGCACAAGACAAAACCTCCTTTAAAACCTTGCAAACAGCTCATCTGAGGGCTGCATAAAGCAAAACGGAGCTCCAAGCAGAGGGGACTGGAATGTGGCAGTATCTGGAAGGAAAAAAATCCCCTCCAGCTGCAGTGACACTGGGAGCAGACTGGAACTCTGCTGCTCAGCACTCTTTGAGCAGGGTCTGCAATCCCTCAGAGACACCAGGCTGCCTCTGGGGTGCGAAGCTTTTCTGTTAAGCTACTCTTAAAGGTTAGGAAATATAGGTAAGAGTTGTGTGTGTTTGCAGGAACTGGTTCCCTGTGTAAGGACGAGGCCTGATTCCAGTTCTCTTATCCCACAGGCAGGACCCAGGGAGTTAAGGATGTTGACTGGCCTGTTTGATCACCTGTGACAGTTTGCACCATGAATCTTCTGTCATACCCCAACAAGAGGTACTAGGGAACCACCACATCTCCACAGAAGTAGCCCACATTTCCTTATTTATTTTATCACCAAATATTATCCGTGTATTTCTTACTATACAAAGAAGAAATTCCATGAGACACTTCCAGCTGTGATCATAGGGAGTAAGCTGAGACTCAGACTCGAGCTCTTGGATAACCTCCCCTCAGGGCAGTCAATCAGCTCAGGACTAGACCAGACTAGTCCCCAGTGCTTCAAAGGAAGGTGCAAGAAAGCTCAGGAGTAATAATTGCTGACTGTTTAATCCATCCATCTGTGGTTTCCAGTCTCTGCAGCTTTTACCACTCTAAACTGAGCCAATGGTTTGAGCTCTCCAAACAATCTTTTCTGCACCAGTGCCACAGTGACTTGTGCTGAGCTACAGGTTTTTTAAGTAATTAAACTTTATAATTTATAATTTCTTAGCGATTATTTCCCCTTAAATATACGAGGCTGCAATAAGAAAACAAAAAAAAGGTCAAAGTTACTTTGAAGCAGTAAGTTAAGCAACCTATGTAAAAGTAAAAGCTGTCACTTCATGAGAGAAAATACAAGACTATAAAGTTTATTATGAGTCTCTTTGTGCAATTCAGTGTCTTGCTATGACCCCACACTCTCAGAAGGCAGGGTGGAAAACCCGATATAAAGCGAAATCATGCCACAAATATTCTGCAGCAAGAAAATCTGCACTGGGAGGGAGGCAGAAAAAGTGCATTCGAGGATCCTTGTGCTTGGCCCAAACAGGTTCCTCTGCTTTTCAAGGCAGCAGTTCTGGGACTGAGGGAATTGATATGCAGCACCCACAGCACCAGCACTGCTAAACACATGCTTGTCAAATCACCTTTCAGCTCAAGAATCTTCCTTTTTTTTTTTTTTTGGTGTTACACAGCACAAGAAAGCCTGACAATGCAGGCTGTGGTGCACCCTGCACCCCCTCGCTCACCTCCTTCAGCTCCTGTGCGACGGAATTAAGGCGTTCATTTTCAGACTGCGTGTTGGCAAGGACATTTCTGATCTGCTTCAGTTCTGTCTGCAGCTCCATCACCTTCTTCATGTAGTACTCTTCTTTGGTAGCTGATTCCTGGATCAAGGTCTCCTCTCTGCTCTCTCCATCTGCTGCTACCTTCTTGTGGTTGGTATGGGCCTGTCCAAAAGCCTAGAGGACAGTCAGAGAGAACACATCTTTTATCAGTAAACCTAGAAGTTTGCATAAGTAACTTCAGTTTGAAATACTTGATAATATTTACCCTCATACATTTCTCTTTGATGCAAAGGAATGTAACCTTTTCCTACACTCTCCTCTTCTGGGATCAGACCTCCAAACGCTATCAAGTGGCCAACACTGGGCTCGTGAAAATAAACCCCCAGCACCCGAATTATCCATTACCCACAATCCAAGGTACTTTGTGATGCACAGAATGCTCACACAGAACCCTTGTGGGAGGGAACAACAACGTACTGACTGCTAAAACAAGACTGGTTTTCAACCAGATGACTGCAAGGTGACCAGGCACTGCTGCGCACGCACGTTCTCCGTGGCGGGGTCAGGCTCGCTTCTGCAAAACCAGAATCCCTGCGGTATTAGCAGCCTGTTCCACGCTTACTCGCCCTGACACAGCTCCCTGCAGCTGCTCATGGCTGGGGATTACACCCCCCTCCCAGCCGGGGTCAGCAGGGCTGCTCCAGAAGCAGGCTAAGCCCGCGGGGTCAGCAGGGCTGAATTAGGTCAGCGGCCGCGGCCGGCTCCGCTCCCTGCTCCGAGACGTCATCCCCAGCAGAGGCACTTACAGACAGGTCACGGGTCCAGCCCCCGCAGCACAGCCTGGCTCTGTCTAGACCTGACATTTGCATTATTTCGCCTCCTGCTGCTGCTTCTTTGGGGGTTTTCGTTTTGCAGGTGACGGTCCCCACACGGACACCCCAGGGGCTGTGGGAAGGAGCCCGCCCATGGCTGTGCCTGGGAGATGTTGCAGAGCAGAGCTGACCACTTTCAGCAGTTTTATTTGTAACACACTGCCTGGCAGATGGGCCAGAATCGATGGGATTACACATGACATCTTTTAAGCGCTGCACACGCATTCACCACAGTCCAACCCAAGGCCTATCCGGAGCTTTCAGGTGCCACGGGATCTTTTGGGATGCCACTGTCCACATGGCAAGTTTTCATAGCCAAAATTAATATCAGGCCAGGTCAAGGACGGAGCTGCATCTCAAGCTCCTTGTCTAGTCACACATTTTGAAGTGATCATCTTTTGACAGCTCTCCAGAAAAAATACTGTTAGTGCAGAAAAAAAAAATCTGCTTTGAAGAGAAACAGACTCCAGTATTTTATTACTTCTGTATATGAAAGCAGGCATATTAATAACACAGAAACTACTGTCTATACCAGGGCAGAAACTGCTGATCAAATATGCTAGCTCTGCCTGTGATTAAAGACACCCAGATATTGCTCCTATCAGACTAAATTTTATTTCAGATAAGCAAACATCCATTGAAGAAATTCTAGCCAGATTCACCAAGACGACCCGAGGGAAATAAAAAGCGACACATTTCAGACAGAAAGTAAAGCACCATCTGTGCAAGTCCTTGTCAAATGAGTTTCAACAAAGCAGCTTAAAAGCCTAATACCCAAGATCTCCATAAATGTTAAAGGGATAACAAAAATCATGCCAGCTTCTCAAATACACTACGTTTTTTTTCCCATAACAAAATTAAGATCCACTTTTTATGGAGCAGCATGTATGACAAATCTCTGGCCCAGAGGAAGGGACTCTGGGCACCTCTTTGCCCAGCGAAGTGGCACCTTTGCTTGGCTGCAGGATGCCAACAAACACACTCAGCACACCCAGAGCCACAGCTGATCAGCCAGACCACAGGGTCCAAGCCATGATTCCACAGAGGAGCTCAGGAATGCCACCCAGGGAAGGATTCCTGGCAATACTGACTCATTTGCTTTTAAAACTTCCCATGCAGAGGCTGGGCCTCAGGTTCCTGTAACAGCTGAAGAAGAGAGGGTCATCATTTTGCCCAAGTCACAATCTGTATTTAAACACAGAAGCTGCCGCAGCGGATGAGACTGGGTGCTTCCATAAATCCAATATCCTGTCTCCTACAGAGGCTAATGCCAGATGCTTCAGAGAAAGGTGCAAGAAACCACTTAATCTCCCAGAGCCGGGAATTGCCTTAAGCCTTGATGCAGAATGCTTAATGTAATTTTGGAAGAGCTATTAACATTGAATTACCTGTGTAAAATATCCCTTTATTTTTCACAGATTTGTGCATTTTTTTCCTCAATAAAACCTTGCAGCAATAAATTCTGCATTTAAAATCTTACTCTTACATGACAGGTTTTTGTCAGTTTACCAGTTTGCAGAAAAGAGAACATATTTTTGTTGGGAGGCTTGAAGGTATGTTGTTAATTCCACGGTCTGCTGTCAACCACTCACTGTTTTGGAGACTTCCATCACAACAGACTATGTAGAACAGGAAACTTTTAACAAAATTGTGCAAAATTACAGGGCAGTGCAATTACTTGCCATGGCAACAGCCCAGACCTGTTTTAAATCAAGCTTTTAAAGGGAAAACTGACTTTTTACTGCTATGCATGGAACTCCTAAACCTTCACACATTCCCAAGTCCAGCATCTACCCATCCACTTTTGCTTTAACATTATCTAAAGCACAGAAATACATGTCAAAGTTATCCTGCTCTTTGTCCTCTTCCAAAACTCCTTTTCCCACCTACTAGGGAAGCAAACTGTTCACAGTTACACTGGAATGATTCCCTTTAGGGTATTTATTCACAAAATAAAAGTTTCTGACCTGAGGGCTGCAAAGCACCACGTTCTGCTGCCTCGAGGAAATTACAGCAAGACACCAATATCAAGGGACTATCAAAGTCCTTGTCTTCCAGATTCCCCAAGATCAGGGCAAAAGCAGTACCAAGGTGCCATCCCCTACCAGCCACACCAGTCCATGGGGTCCTTCTCCTCTCCTCCCCCCAAAACCACTAGGGAATGCTGCCCAAAAGCCAGTTATAACACCCATGGGAAATCCACCATAATGAGCTGATAAAGGTTTACCAAAACTAGTGTCATTGACCAAGATGCTATTAAATCAACTTTTGTGTTTGCACCATTTCTCACATCAGCAGACCCAAAGCACTGTGCTATCACAGCCTAGAAAATCTCATTGCTAAAAATCATAGCAATTCTACAAATTTAATCTTCAGTCAATGGGGTCTGAAAATAAATCTCAAGAATTCAAAACTCTCCATAACAATTACAAATGGAAAAAGGAACATGGACAGCAAATGGATGAGGCAGACTCATCCAAAAAATGCAACGTTATATAAAATGATCAAGCGTGGTTCACTTCAAATGAAACCCTGGATCAAACTGCAGTTAAACTGCATTTAAAGTACTGATTTTCAACAGACAGACCTAATAAAAGACGAAGGTTCCTCTAGGTTTGATGATTACACAAACTCATCTGTTTGTTTTGCAGGAGGAACACGATCTCAATCGTCTTACAGACGCACAGATAGGGGTTTTTTTGCATGAAACCCATCACACTGAAAGAGGCTTTCACACAAAACTCCAAGCTTTGAGAAGAACATTTTCCCAATTCCATGAAGTTTTAGCACACTTGCTAAGGTATCAAGTTCTTCTTAACAAGATTGTTGAGATTTTAAACCCAACCTTTCAAAAGAAGTTCTTTGTCGCAGCGCAGCTGTTCACTGACCACGAAATGTGAAGAATCTCTGAAACACAACTGCTTGGAGAGTTCCAAATGCTTCCCTCAGAACCCCAGAACATACAGGAGATGCAAAGGTTGGTCTCAGTCAGGCTCAAAAGCCAGACTAGGCCTCAGGGAAATTCAGAACAGTGCTGCCTTATTTGCCTCTTTCTTTGATCTGTCACTCTGCCTCTACTTAGCCCAAAGCAGGTCCCAAAAATCACGAAATTCACACAGCTATGCTGGTTATGCTTCCAAATTTGCTGAACTAGACTGCTAGAACCACAAAATAACACAAAATGCTTTTAATAATACCTTTTAATTATCAGTATGTCTCATCAACATTAAACTAATCAGGATATGTTAATATGCACCAGAAGATTAATTGGCACTAAAAGTCAGTTGCATTTTTGTTCATGTTTCTGCACTGTCAATGTGGATTTAATTACAAAGTTCCAGCACCAGTTCAGCTCCTAGTTCCTTCTGCTTATCTGATTCAAAATACGAGAGGTTTTCCGTGGCTTCACCAAGCACTGCACATTTTCCATAACAACAAATTCTTCATGACCAAAAATGATCCAAAAAAGTAATACCAATGTGCATAAAAACGCTGCTCTGAAGAGATTGGTGCATCTTTATAGGGAGCAAGGAATTTAATACAGGAAAGTATATTCCCCTTGTGCATTGTACTCATATATTTTCCTTTTAAATTTTCTTGTAAAGTGGCCATTCTTGCATTCTTCAGCTAACAGAGCAGCGCTGTGACTAAACAGTTTCTCAGCAAAGTCCTTAAATGAACGCACTAGGCTTGGATTGCAGTGAGACACAGGCATTGTCATGTGCTCCCCTAAACATCCCAACCCTCTGAGCATGACCTAACCCTCCCCTCCCACTGACTCAGGCCTCCTTGGCTCCCTTCAGCTGGGTGCCAGGGCTGCTCGCAGCACCACAGCGTGGTGGGGGCTGGAGGGGCACCAAGCAGAGCCAGCAGAGCTCATCCCTCCTTTCTGACAGCTGAAGTCCTGGACACCAGCAAAGCTCAGTCACAGACTGCTCTCTCAACTTTTCACTGAAGAGCTGCTTCATCTCACTCACCTCCCTGCTGCCAAACCCTCCTCAGCAGCACTGGGGAAGCTGCAGCATAGACACAGCAGGCATTTTTGTGCCATTATGTATCACTAGGGCAAAGTGCTGATGCTTTTAAGAGACTGACATTTGAGAGGAAAAAGAAAATAAAACCTCCCAAAAGCAAGCAAGAAGTTTTTGATATCGCAGTACAAGGTTCAGATGGCTTCAGAGTGTTGTGTTGCTGGAATTAATACCAGGCTCCTGTGTGTTCTCAGAGATCTGAGGGCAGCCTGGCAGAGGAGGAATTGACTGTAGAGTTCCCTTGTGCCAAGCCATCAGCCATACAAACCAG